ACAAGACCACTTTTGAACTCGGACCTTGACTCAACAAATTGATTGATTAGTACGTAGCTCTCACAAAGGGGAAAAATCCGTTTAGCAGATTCCTGCAACCATATAGGATAGTATAAATAGGTCGAACAAGATTCCTGGCAGCAGATGGATTAGATAAACTTTTGAAAAGTGCAGGGCATTCGTCCATACTAGACTGAAAACAAGCAACACACAGGTATTTTTTTTTTTTTTACCTGAAGTACCAAATCCATAGATGCATCAACTTGGAAGATTGCACTATCAACCTTCCCCTGGACTCTTCGTATTGAAATATATCGTCCTTCAATTCCAACCAAAGCTGACAATACATCGTCAATAACAATCAACTCCTGAACATTACATAGACGAGTTAACACAGAACAAAATCAGGTGATACAAAGACCACCAACTGTGAGCAACAGGTAACACACTCAAGTGTAAGCACCCAAGTCCATTTCGACCTACTTTAAATTCCCACCATTACCATATAATCCACGGCGCGTATGAGACCCAAGTTTCGTGTATCATAAATGTCAAAACTACAAGTCGAGGGAAAAAAAAGGCACATTTTATTCAGTATGTTTACCTGTATCGCAGCATGATAGCAACCTATCGACTTGTCCACTCCAGGACTGTATGAGCAAGGGAGAAAACCAAAAAATAAAAAATAAAAATAAATAAACAAACAAATGAAAATTAACTGATTGAACTGAGACAGATTCAAACTCGAACTTTATTATTACAAAGTAAAGAAATTAAACATTTTCACTTCCATACCCAAAAATTTCCATGGAGAAACCCTTTGATTCGACAAGCCCAGATGCGGACATCATCATATCCCTATGCTATGCACAAACAGCTTCAGTTATTGTTAAATACAAATAAATAACTTCATCGAAAACACTGAAACAAACGACTAGAGCTCAAACGAGGGAAAGGGGAGTACGGGTGAGCGTGGGTCCGTTCATAAATCTCCAGAACCGTACCAAACTTCGGAGATCCCAAAATTCGATCTTCGGAACCGTACCAAAAATTCGGTTCGATTCCGTTCGGATATTTTTATTTTTTGGTTCGGTCCGGTTCGGTATTCAGGACAATTGGGACGGTTCTGTTCGGTATAGTTTGGTTCGGCTCTTCGGAGATTTTTTATTTTTTTAAATTATTTTTGAATGATTACCCAGCTATATTTCAATTTTTATATGCTTTAAAAAAACAACATTCATCAATAATTTATCATATTGAAGATTTTATTTTGAAATCAATTCTAGAAGTTACTCTAAATTTTAGTTATTTAATTTTTATATGCTTTAAAAAACCAACATTCATCATTACTTCCTCACATTAAAGATTTTATTTTGAAATAAACTTTATAAGTAACTCTAAATTTTAGTTGTAACTAAAATTTGTGCAACTAATATTGAAAATTTAAAATTCAAATAAAATATAATATTTTTTTCTTACAAAAATATTTTTTAAACTTTCATATTATTTTAAATAATTAGTTTATAATAGAAAAAATTCAATTGTAGATCAAGTATTACTAAGAATGAAATTTAAGTGAATGTTAATATTTATTACTATATTATACAGAATCAAAGTTGACATAAAATATATTAGTAACACATTTAATGTTATAATTCGGTTCTTAATTTTGGTTCTTCGGTTCGGTACAGTACGGTACGGTTCGGTTCTCGGTACGGATATTTGTGAAATCTCCAGAACCGTACCAATTATTTTTTCGGTTCAGTTCGGTTTGGAGAAAGTGAAACGGTCAACGGTTATTTTTCGGTTCGGAGTGATTTCGGTCCAGTTTTTGGAACGGTTCGAAATTCTCCGAGTCCCATGCTCAGTCCTAAAGGGAACAGATTATTTGAAATTCCATCCATAATAAATTATCAAAACCATCAGCTTGAAGTTAAGAGAGTGGTCGGATTATAACAGTAAATTTTGGATGTTTCAGATTATTTATTTATTTATTTATTTTGGGAAATGATGTGTATTCAGATTTTGCTGTGGGCGTTATAAATATTGGGCTTGAGCTCAGTTAAATATATGGGTTGAATATAAATTTGATAATGGGCAAACCAACGGGCTGAGCTTAGGGATTATATGGGTTGTGAATATAGGTATTTAATAATGGGCCAACCAACTTAGTGTGAGGTGTACAAGAATTGCAGATAAAAGGCTAAAGGACGTAATTATCTCTCTAATCTAAAACATCATCTTTTAAATGTCATTTACATACTCCATCATCTTTTGCTGACCACATTTCCAAGTTATGAAGCCAAAATTTTAGAAAACATTGAGCTTGAATTAATATCTTTGTCCCGGCGTTGATCCTGTAAGCGTAACTGTAGATTTTTTTTTTTTTAAACAAAAAAGTTTGTCGAATTGGTTATTGCTTAATTCGTTAAAGATTCCTTTGTGTGTGTGAAATTGATAATTTTTTTTGCAACTGTGACGCAATTCATATTTTTTTTCAAGGTTCTGATGAGAAATATTCCATGGGAAACTTGCATGACTACGAAGCAGATCACGGGAACAGGGCTACTACAGCTGTTGAGGCTCTACGATAAGAAGCCCGATAATTACAAGGCTCAGTTGCTTGATGATGTAATATTTTTTTACTCAAAGCTGTGTATTTTATTTAAATGCTGCTGCGTTGCTACTGAACAGTGCTGCTTGTTATTTGCTTGAAGGTGAACTTGTGTGTCTGGGTCAAAAGATTTCACTTGTCCTGAATTGCAAAAGCCACAAAGTACCTGCCAAATTTACGGAACTATTAACTCATGGGTTTTACCAGGACCTACGGATGCACAAACAAAAGTAAAAATAAATAAATACATAAACAAATAAATGAGTGCAAAATTCAAAAATTGTCACACACACACACACATTAGAGTTGAATAAGTCGCGTAGAATATTAGAAACACCCATTGAAATTTGTGTCTACATAACAAACATCTCATCTCAATGGTGCGATTTGTAACGTATAAATATCAGAAGGATGTTTTGCTATTTTGATACATTGCTGGGTCCTTTTCTTTGCAATTAGTCTGAAGTCTGAACCTCAGAGTTAATTTTTCTGGAAAACCAAAAGAATGCTGACCTTGATAAAATGCTACCATGTGAATGAAGGAAGAACATATGTTGGATAAGCATCGTATTTTCTGACGAGAGAATGAACAGAAGAATCATCTGCAGTTTGTCCAAATGTACTTAGTCCAAGTTCAGTTGCGTGAACCCCACCGGTGATGAAAGCCGAAGCTATACCGGCAATGTTTGCTCCTTTAATGTCGTGGTGGAGGGAATCGCCAACAGCAATGCAATCGGCAGCTTCCGCACCAGCCATTTCTATGGCCGATTTATATATAATCTGTTTGCCATAAAATAAAGGTAAAATTGCCACTAATATCACGACGACCTTTATTGAAATCACCCCTATATATAATTCCCGAATGGGTTGAGCCTACGTGGCTGCTTCTGGTGCTTCGGAATCCTACTTGGCAAAGAATCATGCTTCGTAATTAGGTTTGACAAATAATATTGATATATTAATAATTAATAATCTAGGTTCGGACATTCCATAAATATTATTTAGCTAACTTAGGTATTTTAGTATCACTTGTACTAATATAACCATTTAATTCTTTGAAATTTTACATATTGAGGCACTAAGTGACTAATTTATCCCTAACTTTTGATTTGTTTCCTACAATTAGCTATTGAATTGTAAATGTATTTTAAAAGTTGATAACTTTTGTATTTCTTATCGGTGTTACATATATAATATATCAAATTAATCATCTTTTGATGATCTTCCATTTGATATCCATATTGTATATATGAAATAGATAAACTTTATTTATCTTTATAATAATAATAAATAATAATGTTTACTAAAATTCAGTAGAAAAATAAAATTATTTCTCAATTGATATATTTATATCTACTGTAGTTATATCTTGTAAGTTAAAAAATTATTATAATATAATACAGTTAAGTCGCACAAAGAAAAAGTGTCATACTAAATATATAATAATATATATCCTTATAAAAGATATTTAAATTTTCAACTACTTTTTTCTCATCAATTTTAGATTTTAAGAAAAAAAATTAGCAAACACCCGTGTAATACACGGGCGTTGTACTAGTTGAAATTTAATCACGACATTTTTCACTTTTGCAAATTATATCACAATCTTCAGTTTGTTGCAAATTGGTGCACGGGTTCTAAAAACCAACTCTAGAAAAGTTGACGTGGCCGAAGAACAAACTAAAGATTGTGATATAGTTTGCACCGATTTGCAACAAACTGAAAAGATTATGATGTAATTTCCAAAAGTGAAAAGATCGTGATTAAATTATAATTTCGAAAAAGGTCGTGATATTAAGGTCAATTTTGCCTAAACTAAATTCATCCAGTTTAGACGTGAAGAATGGAAAACATGACAAAGTGGAAAGCATAAAAATGCTATTCATGGCTCCATTTTAACAGGTTCCTCAAACGTCAAGTTTTAACTGAAACAAAGACAAGAACTGAAGAAATGCACAAAAACAGACACTCATACAACCAAATAATGGAACTAGCCTCAGTAGAATAAAAAAATTACCTCGCCAGGTTTGCCCATCCATTTCACTTCTCCGCCTAGCTTCTCATATGTTGCTGCCAATGTTCCTATTTTTTTTTTTTTTTTTT